ACACACAGGGGCAAAGAAAGGTTACAGAGAGAAACATAAGCTGTTTTTCTGGGAGTCTTGCTGTGGGGCCACTGTGTGTCCAGAGAATGAATGAACTCTCCTCTCACTGAATAACATTTAGGTGCAGCACATGTGCTTTGCTGCCTGGTATAAATGTGGAAAATTCTAGGTTTGTCGTCCATTCAGATCACAACAAAACAGATCAATGCAGCTTCTGCCCAGAGGCTGTTTTCCGCTTTACAAACTAAGGTTTTGCTGTCCCTAAAAGCTGTTTGTCTCCAGTTGACCAGTTGTTTAACAGTTTACATTTAATAATTGTTTACTAGTTTAACAGTAACGGCAATAACAGCAGTTTAATGGATTATTATGAAAATAAAGTGAAGGTAGTTTTGGTGCTACTTTCACAGACAACATGTATATAACACAGCAGAGCTCCATGTCATCACAGCACACAAACCTTTCAAGCTATAAAACAAGTGGTTAAAACAAGTGGAGCATACGTTACAGGCCTAGCAGGGAAACAGTTAGCAGCATGTTATTCCCACTGGACGTCTGCCGATGAACCGTCAAGGAGGTGCGAGAGCAGCAGTTTAATAGGGAGAGGCGTGCAGGCAGAGCAACGAAGAGGAAGAAAAGGAAGGCATTCCAGTAACCACAAAGCACAAGACACCCCCACTGCCACCCCACCCCTCTGGTCCCCTCATCCCCTGCTGCTATAGCACCCCTCCCCCCTAAACTTTCTCCCTCTCACACACTTTACAGACCCTGTCTGGCGACATTCCAGCCTGATATCCAGGAGCTTCAACAGGAGCAACCCCCTCCTGAGTGAGCCCAAACTCACCTCCTGCTTTAAAGCACTTCATTCAGCCACTTGTCCAGTTTTCAGGATTTCACCCTGAGCTAACTTTTTCCCCAACCTAGAACCTTCCTCTAACTCTGTGGCCCTCTCTCCTGCACACACTGTATGTCTCTCTTTCGCCACCCGGCAGTCACACAAACAGATCGGCTTTCTCCCGCCTACCCACCCTGCTCCACAGTTATCCAGTGTGAGTGTGTGTGTGTGTGTGCGTGAGGGAGAGAGAGAGTTTCACAGACACCTAGATCTGGAGGACAGAAATAGTAAGTGGGTGTGTGACCAAGTTGTGTCTATAGGAGTATAGTTTGTCCAGCTCTCTGCACTCCCTAACATTTATTTCCTGAGCTTTATATTTTCTGGTTTGTTTATATTTTGTCGTCCATCTCTTTCATTTCCACCATTTCTTTCCCCTTTCTCCTTATTTATTTCTCCATTTACTAAATAGTACAAATGGTTGCTGTCAATGCCCACATGTGATTTCATCCTCTTTGTCTCTGTATTTTCAGCTCACTCACGTCTACCAGTTTGTATTTTCTGTCACACCTACATGAGGTAGTGCCGGCACAAACTCAAAACTATGCACCTGTCCAGTAAATATTCCTTAAACAACCCCAGCAGAGGTTGATGCAACAGGATCTGTCTGCTTGTCTTTGTATTGCTATGGTACTTTTTCAAGATCAATTTATTTATTTTTTATTATTAATTTATTGATTCATTTATTTATATTATATCATTTATTATTTATTGTTAATTCACTATATGTGCAGGACATACAGAATATAGAAGTACCGTTTCTCTTTCACCTAGTTTTGAATGCCAAACATAATAAAAGTAGAGTAAAAATAGACTAAAGAGAATAAGAAAACTGAGTCAAAGTGATTAGGATAAAGCTAAACGGTACAACCTAATAGACTATTACTCCAACCTCATACAATCAGTAATAGTGCAAATAATAACAAGAAGATTGTCAGATGGTTGTGAGATTGAGATGCACATGGACAGTAGTGCTAATGACCAACAGCAGCAGATATGACGGTAAAAACAATCAGCAGCAGATTTACATGTAATATAACAAGAAGGGGAGATGTACTGGGTTTCTGCAAAACAACACAGGTCTTGTTTTAATTTGGATTTGCCCCAATTGTCATACCAAGAATAATACAGATAGACAGCAAGTCTATCTGTATTATTCTTGGTATGACAATTGGGGCAAATCTGATTCCACTTCATTAAACTCGGTCTCATGTTAACAAAGTGTATAAGCCATAATATTATGACCGCTGTATCTCATGCAATGGCACCTGTCAGTGCGTGTGGTATATTGGGCAGCAAGTGAACATTAAGTCTCTGAAGTTGTTGTGCTGGAAGCAGGAAAACCTGACAAGAGCAAGGATCTGAGCGACTTTGACAAGGGCCAAACTGTGATGGCTGACAACTGGGTCAGAGCGTCTCCCAGACTGTGGGTCTTGTTGGGTGATCATAATGTTATGGCTGATCAATATATGCACCTGTGACCATTCTTCTCCTCTATATTTACTTTTTTTGTGATTCTCATTTGTCCCACTAGTTTAGGCGCACGCCACACTGTATTTTAATACACATATTACAAAAATAAAACTTTGAATCCACTGGTATAACATGCAACTAAGATTCTATATAACACGAGACTATGTCATGTTTTCCTGTTTTTTTGTGGTGCTGGTTCTTTGCACCAGTTCTGTGTACCAAGTGCTTTTGCTTTTTTGAAACAGCAAGATGCTGTATTTAGAATCTGAAATGCCAAAACTAAAGAAGGCTTGAAGAGCCAAGGATGAAAGCTTTATACTTTCAGGTTTTAGATCTTCTCCTAAAAACAACACTGGAAACAGATGAATTAGCACTAGATCAACAAATAGAATAAGCAGAAAACATGGCTTTAAGTATAAGCCACCATGTCATAAATCTGTTATTGCCTCACAAATACTGTATATCCAGTCTGACCAAGCATGAATTAACTTTACAACTCTGGGAAAACTTCTTGGAGAAGCCACCAGTTCACAGAAGGCTTCACAGAGTTTGTGGTCCGTCCACATTTAGACTTGCGGGTGTGTTACTAGAGATTGTGATCATTGCTGTTACTCAGCTGGTATGTGAGCTTGTGTGCAACTGTGTGTATCTGTGCATCTAGAGTTGCACTTGATACGTTTTTAAACCAGAAACCAAACATGGATGCTACAAAAGCTCTATAGCACCGCTGACAACAACTTGCACATAAATTCAATGTGAGGGAAAACAAGCACATAAAGATCACACACACAGAGTTTAGCAGCATCACGTCAGACTGGTTACTGGAGTTAGTTACAGTGAGATGACCGGATTTTGAACTTACAGGAATAGCTGATGCATATATTTCCAACATCCATCTCTGTTTAGACAAAGCAAAAACACACCTTCAACCATTTGTATTAAGATATTTGAAGTCTGGCTTGCAGACGTGTTGGATTGGTCTTCATGAGTTTAAGCTAGGTGTGCTTAATAAACTGCCAACTGAGTATATATTATGTTAAATATAAATGACAGCAGAAGCTATGGCACACCTAGGAGTCTAACATCTGTCCACACACACCTGTAACTTCTGGGGAAGACAATTACTTAATGGTTTGAAAAAGAAATTTCTGCAGGCTGCTGATGTTTAGCAGCTATAAAATATGACAAGATAAAAATGAAAGCCTACAATTCTTTACCATTAATGCAGCAACAACACCAGAGGGAAGAATGAGCCAAGATAAAATGAAACAAACCACCGATTTAAAAAAAATCTCAAAGTCCTAGTTTTCCCTCTTTCCCAGCCTGTGACTCATTGGAGACAACAGTTCATGCGTAGTCAGTCGTTTGGAGCCTGGAGACCAGGAGAAAAGATGTTCACAAAGTAAAAACACACACACTGCAGCAGCTGACACCACGTTTGCTTTGGCCCAAATGTGTGAAATTACAATGGAAGCATCAGCAACAAGCCTCTGAAGACAAAAGATCAAGTGTGTGTGTGAAAAATCTGTTACACGGTCGATAACGCCATATGCAGACGGTTGGCATGGCAACCAGGAGAACGGCATACTCCCTGCATTTTGAAGCATGACAACATGGAGGCTTTGCAACGATAGAGCATGAGAAAGACTGAGGGGGAAGCAGCAGCTCAGAGTACGGAAGTACTGTATTACACATGCACAGTACAAGGGCTTGTGCTTAGAATAAATGAATCAGAAAAATATAAAAAAGAAAAGGCTGCAATTTAAAAGCTCCCACATTATTTTACTACTTTCAGTAAAATAAAAAACATAAATCTTGACACCATTGGAATAGAGTTAAGTGAAAAATGAAACCAAAGATGAAAAATGCTAAGAAAAAAGAGTTATGAAAGAAATTTTAGAACAGGGGATTTAAAGAACAAAAAAAGGTGAAGAAAGATGTAAAATACCTTCTTCCACATCAGATAAATAGTCCTCTGTGATCATTTCGGGGACATTGGCTTTATGGACTGTGTGATTGGGATGGAGGAGAGGGTTAGAGAAAAAGGGAACCAAAACTATGGAAAAATTATATCTAGAACAAAATAAACAAAATAAATAACATGACACAATTAATAGACATTAAAACTATGTATTTATATCACTGTTGCAATCTAATTCTTTCAGTAGCTGGATGTACAATAAAACTTAAAACCATACTGACAATCAAAATGAAAACATCAAATGATGAAATTAAACTAAACAAGTTAATGATGGAAAAAAACAGACTTTTTACATTTTACTCAGCATTAACAATAAAATAAAGTTTCCTTGACAACTAAGGGGAAATCTGACAACCAGGGTATGAGCACTTTTTTTCAGATTTTAAAGGATTTTCTGACCGATCTCAAGATTGTATGATGGGATTTGCACATTAATGAGCTGTATATAACAAACTGTAAAGCGAATCATTACCTTCATCATCCGACATGTCCAGCACCTCGTTCATGGTCTCAGGAACGTTCATCTTGTGTTTCTCTGTCACAGTCTGTTGAACAAGGCACACCGAGCACACTCTCTAGTCCAGCTTCTCAGAATAATTCAATCATAAAAAGGAAACTATACATTACAGACCACTGGGCATACTCATATTAACACATATGCACCTGAGTGACTAGAGTTTCCTCTGTGACCACCTTGAGTGTGTCAACTACAGAGATGTAGCCGAGCCTCCTGGCAATGGACAAAGCGCTGTTCCCATTCTAAACAAAAAATAAAACAAAGAAGGTGAGTATCTGTTTGGTATCAGGAAGTACAACTAGTGCTAACCACTGAGCCACCCACATACTGTAACTTTAAGTGCAAACTATGGAGAGGTGCTCTCGAAGCCTCCTGTTACCCAGACTCATTGAACAGCACTGGTAGCAGTGCAGAGATATTTGCTTCTAAAAGGTTTTGAGCATCACTGACTTCTAACCAATCAGAGATTTTCAGTTCTTTCTGCTTGTTCAGTGAGTTTTGTTGCATTCTCATTTATTGTAATTTCATAATGACAGTGATACCTTAATTTACATGGTGTAGCTTTAAACTATTAAGAGTTCATCTACAGTAATTTGTGTATCTACTAACAGCTGTGAGTTCGTTGGGTGATGCTCCATGATGCAGCAGCAAGTTGATGATGTGTGTGTGTCCCTGTTGTGCAGCCTGATGCAGAGGTGTGTAACCATTCTGCAGGGGAGGTAAAGACAGACAAAATTAGGAAAAACATACAGCAAACAATACATATATTTTATATTGACCTGCTCAGTCACTGACACAGTGAATATACGGTGTCTGAAAACATGCACCTGCTCATATCTCCTGGCCATATAGCAGTAAGAAAGATAAACACACACTAAATGTTACCTTGGTCTTAGCGTTGACCTTTGCCTGATTTTTCAGGAGGAAGTGGACCATCTTCACGTTGCCATAGTGACAGGCCACATGGAGAGGAGTGTATCCCAGCTGATGACACAGAAATTCATTTATAGAATGTGATTAGCAAAGAAATAATCATCCAGTCACTGGGTAACACCATTGCCTCTTTTCCTACTTAACCTGTGTTAATTCGAGTACGTCACTGAAGTACTTTGGTCAACAAGTTGTTGTTTTTAAAGTCCTGTATAAATACATTTTCATTCGATTGATTTATTTGATTTATCTTATAAAACAAGACAATGAGAGGAGCAGGAGACTAAAGCATGTGAGTGGAGCATGCAGGGTTTGGACAGAGTGGCTTTTTTAAACAAGGAGGGAGAGTCGCCCTGCGTCGCGCTCCAACTTCGGTCTGGTACCACTCACACCACGACCCTGAAGCATGGCCAAGCCCGACCCAGAATGCATCTGTGTGAGACATCCAACGCTTTTCAGTCAGAAATCATCCACTGTGAGCCCAGTTCCTAAAGTACTTTAAAAAAGGAAACTGAAAGGTCATACAGGTGTACTGTATCTTATTTGATTAGGCCCATTGATTCATTGACTGTTACATATGGCTTTTGTGTTATGTTCCTAGTTATACAGGTCTAACTGTAATTTGAAAAAAGTAGTCGCCGTTCTTTAGTTCTTTGGGATGTAAAGCTTCGGTTTAAGCTAAAAGTGAAATAACAGCAAATTTTTTCCCTTTGTTGGAGTGAGTGGGTGCAATTCGAACGGAGCAGGATGCGATCCGAGTTAAGCGCTAAGTGATAAGGAGCGGAGCGGCCTGATGGGGCTTTGAGCGAGGGAGCAGAGCAGGCGAACAACTCCATGAGCAAGGAGCAGAAATTCTCACCACTCTACTCTGCTTATATGCCCTGCAGGAGAGAGAACTTTCATCTCTATGAGGCTGGAGAAGATGTTTGTCTTGTGACTCATTTAAATTTAATCAAAGCTGGTTTTAGGACCAACGACATGCCAGCATGAAATTTCTTCTCCATATTTAAACATTACACAGTTATGGCAGAACTTCGTCAGATGGTTGACCAAATAGCGGGACTGATATTTCTAACCTTAACCCATTATCAGGCAAAAAACCACATTTGGAACTTCCTCAGGCATCCTAAATGGCTATCAATACTGTAATATGTAGCCCTAAGACAAGAAGTTGGTAGTAGTGTTACCTTGGTCTCAGGGTCTACAGTAGCTCCCTGGTTAACTAAGACCTCAGCAACGTTGACTTTATCCTCCTGGGCAGCCAGGTGGAGTGGAGTCAGACCAGACTGAGAACACAGGCAGAGGCAGAGAGAAAGACAGAGGGACAGAAATGTGCTGACTACAACAGGCTACAGTCAAGAGGGAGACAAATGCAGCTTGTCTAGACCAGATGACAGGCTTATGCACTGTGGTGACAAATCAGAGCAGACAGAAAACACTGAAAAGTGAGCACCACAAGAACATAACTGGCAAAATAATACTCTCATATAAAGGCAGTGTCAGGTAAAATGAAGGCCTTGGCCTTAAAATACACACAGTCAGACTGTAAACAGTACTCCCATGTTTTAAGTACCATGTCCGCCTACTGTATGAGATCCACACACCTACCCAGAGCTTCCACACTGAGATCTCGTACCTTGTTGCCCATGTTAATAGGAGCGTCTCGGGCCAGCAGCAGAGTCACGATGTCCACGTTGCCTTCCTGCGCTGCCAGGTGCAGAGGAGTGATCCCCTGGCGTGTTACTGCGCTGGTTGAGGCGCCATACTCCAGTAACGTGGTGGTGATCTCCATTTGATTCTTCTTAGCTGCAATGTGGAGTGGTGTGTAGCCGTTCTGTGTGCAGAGAGCAGAGTGGTGTGATTAATATTTTCCTGATTATTTGATTTATTTTTTTATTCACAGGATATAAAAAGGCGGCATTTTCAAATGTCTTGTTATGTCCAACCGTATGTCTGACAAAGAAAAGCATCAGTTCCTCACATTAAACACAGTGGAACAAGAACAGGATTTTTGTGACTTTTGCTTCAAAAGAGTTGCTGGTTCATTTTCTTATCAATATTATGATTAATTTCAACCACATCCTACAGCCAAATTCTCATGTTTACACCTTGCTGTTTTTTTTTATTCTTTTGCAGGTAGAGATTTACATATTTGTTTAAAATAATATCAACTACAGTAAAATTCTTGTTTTCCATGAGAAGAAAAAGTCATCGATTTCAGTGGCAGTTCTTTCTGTATGGATGCAGTGGAGGGGGCATCCAACTGGCCAAACACATTGCTCCAGTATAGAACACTGTAATTTTGTGGGTGACTGAAACTAGGTCAGTCGCTTTCAGCCCCAGCCAAACAGATGCATCAAGGAACATTTGATTTTACATCCCTAAGCAAGCTCAATTTTTGCTCAGACTTACCTTTGCAGCAGCATGTGGTGAGGCTCCCTGGTTGAGCAAGAGCAGCGCCACCTTCTGGTTATCATAGTGTGCTGCCACATGCAGTGGAGTTAGCCCACTCTGGCCACACATAGAAACACACACAAGCATTGTTAGATGGTGATACATGTACAGTGCAGTGCAGTGCAGTATGAGCAGAGGTGATGAAGAGAAAATAGTGAAAGGAGATGGTCCATGTGATACTGTGCATGTGTGACCTGCATATAAATAAAAGGACAAACTGAATGTGTTCTTTATGCTCACACATACAGTGTTTTGTCTTTGTTAAAAAGTCACTGTCTCAGGCACACAGCAGCATTAAACAGGCGTTACCTTCCCTGCAGCATCAGGTGGAGCGTCTTTCTGCAGCAGCAGGTTGGCAACCTCAATCTTCCCGTACTTTGCTGCCACATGCAGAGGAGTGAAGCCCTTCTGGAAAGACACACAACAACAGAAAGGAATATTATACCAAATTTCATACAGAACCCAGCCCAAGTTAGATGCCACACCACACTGTATGTGTTTAACCACATACAGTATAACAGAGTTGTTTGCATGACTATGTCACAAAAACATAAGGAAATAGTTATTTGGTGCTTAAAAAGATGAAACAATGAGGACTCAGGGTGTGTTGTGAGTGAAACATCAGATTCTTCAGCTGAGAGGCAGCACAGTTCCATGACCATGGTTCACAATCAGCTCTGTGCAGACAGACCCAGCTCTGTTTGTGTTTGCACATGTTTGTATGTATACCTGCATGCACTCACACACTAAAGTGACTAATAGCTGTGGGACTGGCTTCCTGGTTTTTTAAAGTATGAATCCAAATCTATGAAGGTGATGGATAAATGAATAAAACGTTATGATCCAAAATCTCAGTGTCTCATTTTATGTTATTACACCTGAGCACATTCAGCCCTACTAAAATGTTTGGACACTGATGACATAATGATGGATCAGTGACAACAACCCTAAAATGTATGAAACACAATCAAGGAAACAACTTTTACTTCTGTTATTTAAATGACATTATGCTGTTAATACTTCTGTAATTTTACTTAAATAACAACATGAATAAAGCACTTTTACTTGTACTACAGTATTTCAATAACATTATGCATTTGAGTACTTCGTCCAGCCCAGAGCAAAAGTAGCAATCACCTGGCTTGCTTGTGTGTTTCTGTTGGTCACATGTGTTTGAGGAACCAGTCAGTGTCTGAGAGGTATCTGTGTCCACACTCCAGCTTTCCTTCTGTGTGTTTGATATTTACCTTGGTAGTAATGCCCAGACTAGCTCCTTGGTCCAGCAGTGCTGCTGCCACATCTCGGTGTCCTTCCCTGGCAGCCAGGTGTAAAGGAGTGTATCCGGAGCTGGTCGTGGCATCTGGGCACGCTCCACTGGCCAGCAGCTGCTGGACAATGTCAAGCTTACCAAGCCGAGTTGAGATATGCAGCGGAGTCTGGTCATCCTGGCAAAGAAAACCAAGCAAAAACATCCAACTGCATATTCATAATCATTTGGTAATTTACACACAACCAGCCATTATAGAGCAATGTCATAGTTCATTTGGATGAATTAAGTCCAGTATTCATTCCCTTTAAGTTCTGCTTTTAGTCTTTACACAAAAAGGAAATACTTGGGTTTTAGCTGCTAAATGCTCCACTATGTTCAGCAGCTGGTTTGTAAAGCTGCGTTTCCACTATCGGAACCTAATGAGCGGTATACAGTACTCCATACTTCCCTTAACATCACCAAGCATAGCCTCCGGGGTTGACACGGACCGTCCTGCTTTGTTTTTCCACACAATTTTCTCTCTGTTGGCTTAGAGGAGGGAGGGGCTGCTCCCCTCTCGCACAGGCAGTCAGCTGTGTGTTTACACATGGTGCTTGTAATGTTAATGCTTGAGGTCTGAACACATTTAACCAATCACCGGCGACTGCTCTGTGCGCACGCACCCCCTCCTCCCTCACATTCCTGGTACTTTATTTTAGTATTATCTCCTGATGGGTGCTGGCGAACCGTAGTGGAGACAAAAGCAGAACCCATGACAAACGTTGCTTCTTGGCACAACACATTTTGGTAGGTTCCTACATGGGAAAAACCCCTTAAATGTGTCAGTCTGCTGTTTGCTGCTGAGCAGGCAGTGGACAGTGAAATGTTAGAGCTGTCTGCACATTTCTCTGATAAAATGTGTGCGGCTGGCTCTGCTGGGCAGCATGCATGTTGTATATGGGTGCGGAATGAAAACATCAGTATATCTACAAAACAAAAAAATCAATTTCTGTCAGTTTGCCCTGGCAGTTTCCTTCCAAAAGGTTAGTTCTTACAAAATTATCAAGAAACCTTCCACTGAAAACAAGAGGAGTGGTTCTGTACTGTAATGACTCAGTAATGAGACATGTGGAAAACCACAACCACACTGGTTCACATTTAATGACTATAATGTACTGTATCTGAAACATACATACGTAAGTACACACAACTGATGTGGCTGCCACTGAATGGGTCCAAGGTTTTCTATTTAGAAGGATGACTGATCAAACTCAAATGTCACACATGGTCTACCTTGGCCTTGGCATCGACTCGAGCTCCATTAAGGACCAGATATCGGACCACATTTGACTGTCCTGCCCTCGCTGCCATGTGGAGTGCCGTCTCCCCCCTCTGGAACACACACACACACACAGAAGGACTGATAGTGATTCCAAAGTTATGTTGTTAGTTGCTGTTTCTTTGTCCCACTCTCTCGGTGCAAAAGACGCCACTCTGGCAGCCACTGGTTCAGACTTTTAGTTGCCCAGAGCTCGCCCATGGCTCGATGTTGCAGCTTTTAGCTGTTTTCAACCAATGCACATTTTAGAAGACAAACAGTGAAAATACCATCTCATGCTGTCCCTTTCATTCACACTTATATTTCTGTACATATCTGATACCTATGGGAATTTCTCCCAGTGTAGAATGTACTACCTCCATTTTCCATTTTGTCAGTCGTGTGTGGAGACAAGAAAAATATGAGAATGAAAGAACAAAGAAGGAGCAGAAATAAGGAGGTTCCCGAACTCACCACATTACTTGTGTTTGGTGAAGCGCCGTGATTGATCAGCTGGTGAACGATGTTTTCATGTCCCATAAACGCTGCAACATGGATCGGAGTCAGACCAGACTGAAGAGTGGAGGACACAGCAGGGACGAGAAGTGATGAAAAGAACATACATAACAACCACTGTTATGACAACAGCATCTGACTTTCAGGACTCCATAATATGACTTGGTCCAGTAAGTTGTAGTGGAGGAAAACATACGATATTTTCCTCTGGAATGGAGGTAAAACAAAAACCAGTTGATGCCATAATGGTCCATGCCAAACACATACCTCAGTTACTGCCTGTATAGATGCTCCGTGCTTCAGAAGCAGCTCCATCACCTTGACTCTGTTCTTCTTACAGGCGATGTGCAGGGGAGTGAAACCATTCTAAGACACAGAAAACAAATACATTTAAAGGTATAAAACAAGTCCAAAAGGTCTTTGTGTGTGTCTTTGCAGGTCCTGCTGAGCTGCTGGTAGACAAATGTGGAACACCTAATGGAAAAGACAGAAGGGGCATCTTCTTCCTTTCTCTCCTCTCGCTCTCAGACCCTCTTCATGCAAACCAGACAAGCCTGTGTGGAAATAACTGACTTGACTGTAAGCAGTATAAGTGCATTGAAATGAATACTTTTCTTTACAACTCACTCTACTCTCTCCAGTTCGTACACTCTACCCCCTCCCTCCTTGTCTTACTCTTAACTTTGAGGTTTCCGGCTCAATCCTATGACTTCATTTTCCTCCCCACACACTTTTTTCCCCCGTCTCATTCTCTCTGACTATAAAGTCCCAGCGCTCTAACCACACCCAGACGTTTCCACAGAACAGACATGGTTGTCTTATGCCAAAGACAGACTCTTTTAGTCTCCTTGTCTGTTCCCTTCAATGATTTCCTTCATGTTCCTTCATGTTCTCTCTCCTGTGCAGTTTGTTCTTTTTTCATTAAAGTTCCTAATTTCTCTTTTTTCAATGTAAGCAAACAAAAAGTGGGGATAAGGGGAGAGATAAGGAAAGAAAGAAAAGAAAGGAGGCAGACAGGAAAGGATTTGAAAAGAAGGAATACATTTTTGGTTGGGTGGGAGCTGAAATCATACAGACCTGATTGAAACACTTAAACATTTTACTGCTACAGTGCTGAGCAACAATAAAGTTTTAATCCAAACTTAAACTTCAGTTTTGGAGAAAGCACCAACACTTTTCTATCACATTTCATCTTTAAAGCTACTTTCAAACATGCAACTCGAAATACGAATGTGCTGGCTACTTCATATGTCACTCTCATGTTTACACAACGCCCAGAATCCCTTTTTCCATTACAGGTGTGATGACACAGCCACGAGTAACATTTCACTCTTGAAACGTGGCTCGACTGTGCAACTTAATACGTAATACTTCTTGTTTCATTTTCTAAAAGTTAAATGTTATTATGTACAAATGAAACAAACCCAATCTAAGCAGGATTACTCCTCTGCCACTGTGTCAAGTTCATGTAAATGGGACAGATGTGAGGACGCTCTGACCTTGACCTCTGAGCACCAAAATCTACCTAGTTCATCCTCGAGTCCAAGTGGACGTTTGTGCCAAGTCCCTCAAGGCGTCCCTGAGATATTGCATTCATGAGAATGAGCCAGAAGGTCAAACATACAGATGGACAAACAACCTGAAAACATAAAGCATCCAACTACAGCTGATGCATGAGACATGACCGCTCAGCAAAAACAAACAAAACCTAAGAAAATAACAAAAACAGCTCTGTAAGGCTGAACTGAATGCTAACATCACCATGCTAACATGCTCACAATGACAATGCTAACATGCTGATCTTAAGTCTTTAGTATTTTAACACACTAATCTGGGCTGATGGTGAATGTCTGGTGGGAATATCCACAGATCATAAAGTACTGGACAAAGTGAAACTTAGATCAGATTCAAACTCTTTATCAGATTCAATGGCCTCTCATAGGGAGTGCAATGATTATGCTGGCTCTTGAAATAAAGCCAGAATGATTTCTCTGGTGTCCCCCTTCCTTCCATTCCTTTTCACATGCTTGCTTTTTATTACAACAGATGGTGGGCCTGTCTCCTTGAAGCTGCCAAACCTCATCACCATCCTCTCCATCCTCACCAGTGCCTTGGCGTTGGGGTTGGCCTTCTTGTCCACAATGACCTTTGCCACCTTGTAGTGCCCACAGTGGGCAGCTACGTGCAGCGCCGTCAGGTAGTCGTTGGTCACGTCGTCCACGGGCACCTCGTGGTGCAGCAGCAACTGGACGCAGTTAAGGTGGTCTCCCTGTGTCGCCATGTGCAGGGGAGACAGACCGTTCTGGAGTGAAAACAAAAGAAACACATGACGTTGGAAATCTAACAGCTCACAATTTAACATGTGCCCAACAGGCAGCGTAAAAGAAAGAGGAAAAACAGATACAGGTTGAAGGTGCACCTTGGTCTTTGACAGTATTGGAGCTCCTCTGTCCAGCAGCATCTCCACCACCTGCTCATGACCACTCCTGGCTCCACAGTGAAGAGGAGTCAGACCGTCCTGGGAAAACAAACATCTTACTGTGGGTAAGAGCTTCAGGCTGATGTTCAGCTTCACATCATCACCGACAGTATCTTTAAGCAAAACAATGACGCCATCCCTGCAGGTGGCTCTTCATGCCCACACCTCTGTAGGATGATGTGATCAAAATGATGTGTGTGTCTGTGTGTGTGCACATACCTTGGTGCGTCCATCTATCTTGGCACCTCTCTCCAGCAGCAGTCGCACCATGTTGGTGTTTCCACGTTTGGATGCTACATGCAGGGGTGTTATGTCATTCTGGGGGGGGGAAGCATCAAAACTGTCATTTCAAGGCTCAGTTCATCAGCCAGCCAAAGAGTTGGGTAAGATTCTGAGTTTTAGTTAAGAAAAATAATATATTTCACAAAGAATATCCTAAGTCACTGCCAATGACAGCTTGTGATATCATGCACAGAACTGGAAACAGGGAAAGGAAATATGTTTCAGCATTTCAGAGGAAAACTGCTCTACTATTTATCAGTGCAAGAGGACAAAGGTTCAATATCCCCCTGCACACAAGTCTCAGAAGCTGGCAGCTCTATCTACTCATCTTCTTCTCAGCGAAGGACTTTTAATAGGATACTGTGAAGCTGCATTTGCTGAGTGTTATTTACAGTCTACTAACTAGTGTATCATTATATTATCTGTATGAGTAGAGGCTGTGGATTTTGTGGTTGCAAAGTTCTTAAGAAATAAACCAATAGTAATTACAGTGTACAGTAAATGTCAAATAAAGCCATCTTTTCCTTCAGATTCTTGCTTTGTGGTTCCCTGATAGACTAGTGGTTAAGGCGCAGTGCTCTCGCCACTGCAGCTCGGGTTTGAGTCAGGGTTGCGTCAGGAATGGAATCCGGCGTAAAACACGTGCCAAATGTCAACATGTGAATCGCATGGCGACCCCTAACGGGAAAAAGCTGAAAGTGACATTCATTTTCTTGCTTTCTACAACCGTGGCCACAAATGAAAAAAAAAAAAAGATAAACTATCGAATAGCTAATTCCAAATATCCACTAAAGACAGATGGACCACTAGAATTGTTTTTCACTAAGGCTCAAGTAAGAACATGTTAATCAAACATTAACATCAAGCACTGACTGACATTCATAGATCTATAGGATCACGCAGCAGACAGACAACATGTGTGTCCTCCAGCAGAGTGACAAGCACAGCTGAACAATACATGTGCCAGTATCAGATTCCTGCACACTCTCTCTACAGATACACACAAGCACAGAATCCTGCATACAATCCTGCCCTATTATAAGAAAGGCTCCTCAAGTGAGTGGCTGTGGCAGCACTCACTTCAATAGCTTCATGTCTATGTGCCAATGTGTGTACCTACCCTTGCCTTGAAGTCCACAGCTGCCCCTCTGTTGAGCAGGAGTGTTGCTACGTTGATGTTGCCGTAGTGAGCCGCAATATGGAGAGGAGTGAAACCGCTCTGGAGGGTGAGAAACACAGACAGAGAGAAACAGAAATGATTAAAGACAGAAGGAAAAAAAGCAGAGCTTGTCTCATAATGAGCCATGAGCAAAGCATGATGGGACGTTACACACAGTAACAGGCACAGCAGAGCAGGACGAAGGTCAAACATGCTTCGAAAACCTGACAAAACAAATGGAGGGCTGGGTTTTATTTTGATAATGAATATACATGCTATGGTCACTTTATTAGGTACACCTGTGCAACCTAACACAAACCAGTACAAAGCTCTGCCACATGTTCTAACTTTCAGAAGCTTGAATTTTTATTCAAACTTTCTAAGAGGCTCTATGTTGTGGTGTTGTTGTACTGGACTGCATTACATTGAAATGTGTATCTAATGTTTTCCCCTTTCATGGAGTGAATGAATCATCAGGAACATTGAATGGGCTCCAGTACAAAGCATATACAGTTAAATGAACACCTCTACCTGCACATTATCATACTTCATGAAGGCAGGATTCATGGCAGAGCAGTAGTACTGGAGTATATAGATTTTGTTGGTGTACCTTACACAGTAGCCATTGAGTGTATAGTTCTACTTTTGTTGTGTATTAGTGAGGGCAAGTGCACATCAACTTGTTCTGGGTAAAAGTGGATAAAATCACAATATATGCAAATATAACCACATTCAGCTCCTGTCAAATGAAAACCATGCACAGGTTCTAATAACAATTTCAATATTCAGTGTCCATTCATAAAAATATACTCTTCTGTGATGTTTTCATCTGATTGGAACAAAACCAAACATGCATCTGCATGAGTCTTGGACATACAGATGACCACATGCATTTAATTTAGACATGTGTAATTTACAGCATCTACATATCAAGACTATACAAGATATGAACAGCAAGACAAGAGGGATAGAGGCAAACTTCTGTTCCACGATGAGTTTCTGCTTTGAATAAAATGCTCTGTAACATGTTTGCTACGTTAGCCGGCCATACAGCAGTGCTCGTTTTAATGCTGATAAAACCCAGGCATGATGCCAAAAGAAATAAATGTACTTTTACAGTAAATCAGGACAAAAATCCTAAGTAGTCATGGTTGAATGCTCTGGAACGTCAGATTGTCCAGATTAAAAAAGGAAAATCACTTCACATCATTTAGAATCCATTCAAGCTCTACTGAGGTAATGAAGGGACATTTTCACATCCAGGGAAATAAGCTTGTCTGCTTTCTTGTCAAGAGTTAGACAAGAAGGCAGATATGCTAAACATGAAGCTACAGCCAGGAGACACTTATCTTTGTTTAGAATAAAGACTGAAAACAGGGAAAAACAGCCCGATCTAAAACCACAACCTGACATTTTTAGACTCAGATTTTTGTATCAATCAAACAAATGCAATAAAATATATTTAGTACTGAGCTCTGAAAGGCTGGTTGCTGCATTTCACACATTTACAGAGCTCAACTACTCAGACAGGATGCATTAGGAGCCTTTAAAAAAATAATACTTTTACACCAAATTGCCATTATACAATATGTGTTATATCCTAAAAATGCTGATGATGACAACATTTATTGCAGCAATGGAGCTTTTTTGTGCAAAAAACATATTTCCAAGAAATATCTCTGATTCAATGCTTCAATCAATTTGCATGCAAACAAGGTTTTTTTGCTACAGCAGCTAAAATATGTTATACTGTTCATATACATATACATTTTCAAATAATGTCTTTGTTCTTCTCAAGACAGTCGTTTATTCCATATTTCATTTACTTCCAAGTTCATGCAAACTCAGAACTTTCTACATTTGTACCTTTTGTCTTGATAAATTTGGTATTGTGTACATTTCCACATCACCAGTTTTTACCAGGCCTGTATTAGTGACCAGTCTTAGTATGTGCAGCTCATAGCCCTCTGCTTTCATATGACAATTTATAATAACTACTGGAAAACATCGAGGGCTCCCTAAAAATTAAATGGTTTCATAAGCTGCAGGTGTACTAAAGCTAAGTGAAATACCACAGGTATTTTATTTCACGTCTGCCCAAAAGAAGAAAGCCACCGCACACACACATACACACACACACACACACACAAAGCAAACAGGAAATGCGATGCAGGCTTAAAACCAGACACAAAGTTGAGGCACTGTCAGCAGCAAAAGCATTCATGTCAGCATTTAGCAGTCATGCGAGCAGACAGAAGGCTTTGGGCTTTGCAATGGTGACCATGAGTGAACAATGAGAGGAGAGAAGAAGAGAAGAAGCAGAGAGGGGAAGAAGAAAAGAAGAAGAAGGAGAGAAGATGTACCTCTGTTGTTCTATTCACCATCATCTAGAAGGGAAAAAGGAAAACGGGGAGCGGTAGGGTAAGAAAAAAAGAACGAAACGAGGGAGAAGAAGGAGAGAATGGGGCGGTTAGTGCACCACAACAGCTACAACAACAGCAACACCAACACCATGGCTGCACCAAGCTGTAGGATGGGTATGTGGCTGGAGGTAATGAAAACCAAAAACCACACAGGGTACACACAACTGGATGATGAACAGAGACTCTCCCTGAAAGTTGTATTTGTTTATGTCGTTTGGTGTTTACAGTCTTATGCAAAAGTTTAGGCACCCCTTGATACATAACAGATTTTGGTGATTTTTTATTTGAACAGATGTTAACACAGTTTCTCTTGGAAATGGAAAAAATGCACAATATTTTCTGCAAACAGTGATGCATAGTTACTTCTTATGCCATAAATTGAACAAAAATAAAAAATAAAAACATTATTATGGCATGGTGCAAAAGTTTGGGCACCCTACACAATCAGTACTTAGTAACACCTCCTCTGGCAGATATCACAGCTTGCAAACGCTTTTCATAGCCAGCTAAAAGTCTTTCAATTCTTGTACTTGGGATCTTCTCCCATTCTTCCTTGCAAAAGGCTTCTAGTTCTGTAATATTCTTTGGTCGTCTTGCATGCACAGCTCTTTTAAGATCTACCCACAAATTTTCAATGATGTTTAAATCAGGGGACTGTGATGGCCATTCCAAAACCTTCAGCCTGCGTCTCTTGAGGTATTCCATAGTGGATTTCGAGGTATGTTTAGGATCATTGTCCTGTTGTAGAAGCCATCCTCTTTTCAGCTTCAGCTTTTTTACAGATGGTGTGATGTTTGCTTCCAGAATTTGCTGGTATTTAGTGGAATCCATTCTTCCCTCCACCCGTGCAATGTTTCCTGTGCCACTGGCTGCAACACAACCCCAGAGCATGATAGATCCACCCCCATGCTTAATAGTTGGCAAGGTGTTCTTTTCATGAAATGCTGCTCCTTTTTTTCTCCAAACATGCCTTTGCTGATTGTGTCCAAAGAGTTCTATTTTAACTTCATCAGTCCACAGCACTTGTTTCCAAAACGCATCGGGCTTCTGTAGATGTCCTGTTGCATACTTCAGACGTTGGATTTTATGATGGGGACGCAGATAAGGTTTTCTTCTGCTGACTCTTCCATGAAGGCCTTGTCTGTGCAAGCATCGCTGCACAGTGGAACGGTGCACCACCACTCCTGAGTCTGCTAAATCTTCCTGCAGGTTTTTTGCAGTCAAATGGGGGTTTTGATTTGTCTTTCTGACCAGCATACGAGCAGTTCTGTCCGAGAGTTTTCTTGGTCTTCCAGATCTCATCTTGACCTCCACAGTTCCCCTGATCTGCCATCTCTTAATTACATTTCTTACTGTGGAAACTGCAAGCTGACAACGCTTTGCTATCTTCTTGTAGCCTTCTCCTGCATTGTGGGCGTCAATAACTTTCATTTTCAGGGTCTTACACAGCTGCTTAGAGGAACCCATGGTTGCTGGGTGTCCACAAGTGTGTGCACAAGGTTTGAAGAGTCAAAGTATTTGTACAGCTTTGAAATTGGCATTTACCAATGACAGCTGTTGCTGTGCATCAGATCTAACGAGCTGATTAAGGTCTGATACCTTGTGAGAGACTTTGAGACTCTGGAACTCTTAGGGTGCCCAAACTTTTGCACCATGCCATAATAATGTTTTTATTTTTTATTTTTGTTCAATTTATGGCATAAGAAGTAACTATGCATCACTGTTTGCTGAAAATATTGTGCATTTTTTCCATTTCCAAGAGAAACTGTGTTAACATCTGTTCAAATAAAAAATCACCAAAATCTGTTATTTATCAAGGGGTGCCTAAACTTTTGCATAAGACTGTACACCTGTCCATGTTGTTCCCGTCTGTGACACCTCGTGTGACTTATGTACAAAACTTCATGCACTGAACCACCACCAGTGTGCTGCAAATGTACAATCTTTGCTTAGAGATTAAAATCACGTTTAGTTTTTATTAACAAAAATTTCACCTTAAATAATAAATACTGTATGTGACAAAAAAGAGAAGTGCAACGTACTGAAATTCCTCTGATATTACTGTCCCTCTACTAGAATTTACTATTATTCTGATGTTTAATTAAAGATTTAATTGGATTTTTAACCTTAAAAATAGATGAGATTGCATATTTTTTTTCAGGCAGTAGTATGTATCCTGAGAGGCAATACCCAGGGCAAAATAAAGTTTGTTATTACTCACCACTGCTTTTAGGCTCATTGTTCTCAGTGTACGGTGACAACTGGAGGCAACTCAGGTGACATTATAAGCATTTTTATTATCTCTTCTTTTTCACTTATCTGGATTTCAACAGATGGGCAGTAAGAAGATACAGTGCCTTGCGAAAGTATTCGGCCCCCTTGAACTTTGCGACCTTTTGCCACATTTCAGGCTTCAAACATAAAGATATAAAACTGTAATTTTTTGTGAAGAATCAACAACAAGTGGGACACAATCATGAAGTGGAACAAAATTTATTGG